TATGCACTATGCTTTTTTATAGGAACTTTTCAAAGCTTTGCTTTGGTTCGAACACACAACATTGAAATTTTCTGGATCCAAGTTGATGCAAGTTGATAAAAGCGTTGTAAAATGGAGCCCCGGTTTCGGTAGGACTCAAAGTAGAGCCCGCGCTATAACGCCGGCGACTCAACGAGCGGTCAAGGCGGTTAAAAACCGCTGGGTGGAGAACACACCCCAGGCAGCCCCTGGAAAGGTCACCCAAAAACAATCCCGCCGGTCAGAACAGTGTCCCCGTATCGGGATATGGATCGACCGATGTAGTACCTACACCAACACACTCGCGAGCCAAAACAACCGCCGATATGCGTGTATAAACCTTCCTCAAAGTCTAGCCAAAAAGCCAGCAACTCACACAACAGGTTCCCCAGAGCAATTCGCTCGAGAAAGTGGTACCCGGTACACGTAATACGCGGCACACAACACAACAATCCGCCAAAACAGGCAACCCGGCCCAAAATTACCACCGTAGAAGGCAGAAACCCCGAGCGGCAGTGCAGGAGCCCAAGAATTACCCTTAAAACGGCCACAGGAGCTTAAAAATACCAACTGGTCCCCAACTGGACCGAAGGTAAGTAGTTTCGGCCTAGTCCCAAACTGGTTCCCAAATGGTTCCCGGACTGGTCCCCGACTGGTTACCAACTGGTCCCACGAACTAGTTACCAACTGGTCCCAAAGTGTTTACCAACTGGTCCACCTATACCTCAAGTGGTCCACAAGTCACTTCACTTACAAAGCATTCGATTTAGTTGACAATAGTCACATGCATTTACATATGTATGTACATACAAACGAGCACCAATTAATTTTATTTAAAGAAATGGCGTGTCGTCTATTTCCGGTGTAGCAAACGTAGTACATAGGGCGACATCTAGATGTCATCTACCTCGCCCTATTCACTATGCTTTTTTATAGGAGCTTTTCAAAGCTTTGCTTTGGTGTCGGAACACAACATTGAAAGTTTCTGGATCCACAACATTGAAAGTTTCTGGAACACAACATTGCAAGTTGATAAAAGCGTTGTAATAAAATAGGAAAAAGGTTAGCAGCTGCTGCCCCATTCAGTCAGCGTTAAGTTGGTGCCAAATGTTGACCCGGCAAGGATATGTACTACAACAAAAAAACAAAAAACAACTTACAACACTCATTCACACGCATTACCCATAACTTAGTAATGCTATGGTTAACCTGCCGGAAATTGCGATGATAAAGGCAATCGCAGAAATAGCTGATGTTGGCTTGTGCAACGATGATATGGCAAAAGCTGTAAAGCGGTACATTGAGTCAAACAGCTGGCAGCTTAACAAACTGCTGATTTACTATACTTTTTATAAACTACCTACTTAGTGGTAACTTGGCAGCTGGTGTGCAAAGGGGATTAGGGGATTAGGGGATTGGAGGGAGAAAATAAGCACGGAAGAAAAGAGTTAAAATGCAAAGGAACTCCGTACAAGAAATCAAATTGAATTGGAATGCAATGACTAAGTGGAAATCGAAACTGGAAATAAGAGAACGAAATGTGAAATTCGGGTAAAAGAAAGAAACGGAGCGCTTAGAGAAAAAAAGTGAAAAGGTGAGGCAAAATAATAAATATATAAATAGACATTTGTAAAATATATAATAATGTAATGTTAATATACTCAATTACCGGCAATTTAATATTTCATCGTATTTTTATGTATCGCGTGTCATTGCGGAATTACTTGTTGTCTGCTGTGAGACGTATAATATAATTTAAAACGTCTTAAAAAGGGATTTGCTGGATAAAAAAAAACAATACAAAATTAAATATTAAAGCTGTGGATATACTCTGCTTTTTTATACCCGAGCGCACTTGTGCACAAGGGTATTATAACTTTGTTCACATAACGGTTGTTTGTAACAGGCAAAACGAATCGAGATAGATATAGACAAATGTATACATAAATGATCAGAATGAAAAGAGAAATCGATTAAGCGGTGACTGTCTGTCCGTCCGTCCGTCCGTCCGTCCGTCCGTCCGTCTGTCCGTCCGTCTGTGCACACGATAACTCGAGTAAAAATTAAGATATCTTAACGAAACTTGGTGCGTGTACTTCTTTCGGGCGTAGGACGGATGGTATTGAAAATGGGCAAAATCGGGCAATAACCACGCCTACCTCCCATATAACGGTAATTTTCAGAAATACGAAAACTGCGATATTTTAGTAACTACTGAAGATTATTCACTCAAAATTGATATTTGCAATAACTTTTAGACGAAAAATAAGAATATTGTACATTTTTGGAAAATGGGCGTAGCCACGCCCACTTATGGATACATGTGTATATCTTGGTAACCGCTGTTCCAATTTCTTCCAAACTTGGCACAGTTGTTAGTCTTGCTACAGCATACCAAATGGCCAAAACTCTTTAAAATCGGACAATAACCACGCCTACCTCTCATATAACGGTAATTTGGAGAAATACGAATTCTTCGATAAATCAACAAATATTAAAGCTAATTTACTCAAAATTTATGCTTGCAACAATTCTTTGCCAAGAAAGACGTTTATGAAAAAATTTTGGAAAATGGGCCCGCCCACTTATGATCACATATATATATCTCGGTAACCGTTCTACCAATTTGTACCAAACTCGGTGTGATTATTGTGCTTGCCACATAGAAGCAAAACGTTGAAAATTATTGGAATCAGATTCAAATTACGACCACTTTTCATATAACGGCAAATTTCAGAAATGCTTGAAACTGCAATATTTCGAAATTTAAGGACGCTAATTTACTCAAAATTGATACGCTTACCATGTAGCGGTACCTGCGCCGGGTATTTAATGTTCGGCTCCGCCCGAACTTAGACTTTCTTACTTGTTTAAGCATACACTGTTTTTAACATCGCCTACGCTGCCGTCTTGCGCTGAAATGTGGGACTTGATAAATAGGCAATTTCATCAGTTACCTATCAGACTATGCCAGGAGCACTACTTAACGAAATTAAAAGTAAGTACATGTATGACTTTTCACTGAAACTTGCTTTTCAGATGCCTTATAATTTTCCTTTAATTTATAGTCGTCAAGGAAACCGACATCGATGAAGCTGCGAATCTGTCAAGTGCCTCTACATAAAAATATTATAATATTTAAGAAAGTAAAACCAGTGTTTTTTATATTCTTTCATATTTTATATCTTATTATATTTAGTTTTGTTGAGTCTCATAGTATAACACTTTGCATCAATATACTTTCTTGAATGAAGCCTAAGCAATAAAAAAATATGTAGTATAGTACCTATCCGTATGCATATAAATAAAAGACAAACACTCAAATTCATAAAAAATAATGAAGACTTTAACTGCTTTACAAATCGAAAATTTGTATGAAAATGTCACTTTATAGAGGTCTATAAATCTATTTTATTTTTTATGAATAAGGCCATTAAGTTTTATTATAGGTAAAATATTTAATATATATATAATATAATTTTTTATTAATTCTAAACTACAGTGTAGTCATAAAATTCTTCTTCTTCTTTCGTAGAACGTACGATTGCTTTTATTATTACATATATATTAAACAAAAGCGCTTAAATTTAACGATAAATAACGAAATAAAAGTGTTGTGTTATAATTCGTAATATGTTTTTTACAGTGTGGAGAATGAAAGCAATCGCACATTCTACGAAACAAGCGCAGATTTTACGAAAATAATTTCTTTACATATACGAATTATTTCTGTGCATTTTACAAAAATTTCGTAAAAAAACTAAGAAATAGTACGAAATTCTTTAGTACGAATACATTCGTAAAATGTACTATAGATCTAATGCCCCATATTTTCGTAGTATGTACGAAAACGGTTTTGTACAATCAACGAAAACTTTCGTGGCTCAAAATGACGAAAAATTTCGTAAGATTTACGCAAGTTTTCGTTATATTTACGCAGATTTTGTTTTCAGTGCAAAACAAAAAACATTAGTCACTACAAACTAATGCAAGCGTAGATACAGTTGCGTTGAAACAAGTAATTTTTAGCAAAAAAAAACCCCGACTTCAATTCTCATATAAAGAATATATATATATATATATATATATATATATATATCATGATACAATGATCGGATCTAAACCAGATTAGTATGAGACCACCTCTGAGATACTACCTTTGCGATGCAAAAAGAATTATCGAAGCGGTAAGATACATAAAAAAAAAGTATTCCGACGAACTGATAATCTCCTCCTTTTTTGGAAGTGGGTTAAAAACTAAAAGTGGGCTCAATAAAAAGAGCTTAGATTGGATTAAGCTATGGCGGCTGTCTTCATACCAATCCTCATTGAGGCGCACTTATGCGCGAGGATCCCCAGTGTGTGACTGGGTTTGGTTCAATGCCGAACATAACAGTAGAAATAACTATATAGTAACGAGTAGTATTTCTTGCAAAACACAGAAAGTATCACATTTCTAATGAGAGGTTGCTGAAAATGACGAAACCTCAGTCTCGCTTTCAATTTACTTTTCGTGTCCACAATTTCATTGCAGAGTCCAAGCCCTGACAATATCGTTATCTACATAATTATTTTTATTTAGGAATCGAGATTTTAAGGATTCGCTAATGCTCATATTAAAATTTGTATAACAAACAACGAAAAAATGTGCCCTTCCTAAAAGTAAAACATTTATCTTTAAATTTACTTATCATACAAGAACACTGCCATTATTTTATACCTAACTGCACATAAGCTCATATACATACATACGTACAAATTAAAGTGCTCCACGCATACCCTTTTTTTGCTACTTACATATGTGCATACCTTCCCACTGTTTGTCCAGGTCTATAACTATAAATGTACACTAGTTTTTTTTGTTTTTTTTTTTTTGTTCTACCTCCACACACTTTCTCACGCCAACTAATCTCTGCGCTTTTGTGGTCTTGTTTCAATTTCATATCTTTTCCTCTCTGCTTTCTCTCCCTTTAACCATTCAGCAGCTCGTATTCGTGCTACTGCATCGATGGCTACACGGGAATTCAGTGCCAAACAAATTGGGATGAATGCTGGTCGGGGCCCTGCCAAAATGGTGGTACTTGCATAGATGGCGTCGCCTATTACAACTGTACGTGCCCGGATGGTTTTACTGGTAAGTGGAATGGCAATGCACGCTGTGTGAGTGTTGCTTCTATTCTTCTTCAATGATATGTACTTAAATTTTTATGCACATACCTATGCACTTATATGTTAAGTTCTGTTAAGCGACTAAAGCGCACAAAACAAATACTACTTCTACTCGAGTACAACTGTCCCTTTTTCCACATTCACCATGCTCTTGTATTGTCATACAGGTGTACATGAGGGTTGTAGCAACAACAAGTGCAACGACGTTTTCCGTTTGGTTAGCATTTGCCGGCACAATGCAACACACGGAAACGTCGGAGTCTCGGAAACTCTATTCTATGTAGTGCTATTTTTAAGGTACTCGCATTTGTTATGCTATTGTTTAGATCTCTGCAAATGGGAATGTGTCTCACCAAAAAAAAAACAGTAGTTTGTATAAGTATTCTTACTTGGATACAGCCCTATGTGTGCCTGTGATTCTACATGGACTCGTTTGTGCTGCTGTTTACAGTACAAAGTGCACTTTATTGTTTATATGTATTAGGAGCAAAGGACACCGCAAAGCCAAAGAGCAAATACAATGTGTAAAAGGAAATATAAAAATAGCGAATAATAACAGCGAATGTGGAAAATAAAAACAGTCTAGTGGGTAGCGTGAGCAATAAAAACATTTGTGGGGGAGCTTAAAATGCAGCTTCTAGTAAAATTCAATAAAAAAGAAATCACTTGTATTCACGTGCGCATACATACATATGTGTATCTGAACATAAGTACATTGAAATTTATTAGAGCTGTGAGACATTTTTTTAATTAAAAAGCAGCAAAACATATACATATGGGGCGAAATTCGCCTAGTAAAACAGGTAAACAATTTTAGGTACTGCAATGTTGCTATTGTAAATGGACTCTTTCCTTCAGAGGTTTTTGTCGATTTATATGAATTTAAATATTCATATTTTTTTCTCGATCTTAGAATTGCAAGTTCTCTTACAATTTTATCTCATGTCGGATTTATTATTGAGAATCCAAAATTGGTCACCTCTTAGAACTTTTTTTGTTTTCTTGGTGCAAACTATATTTTTTTTTTACAAAAAAATTTGCAATTAAATATTGTTATTGCTTATTTCGATAGTGAACTTTCTTAGCTTTGCAACGATATATAATTTAGGGTGGGTGGGACATAAGGACTGCAAGGTTTTTATAATAGAAAACACTGGGGACCGCCTTGCGTTATTGTCGACGATAACAAGAGTTTACAGAACTAAAAAAAAAAAAATTAAAAAATTGTCCACCAGTTAGCACTCCCACCAGTAGCGAGAGATGTAACATGCTTAGACTCAAGAGCTTCCCGAGCAACTTCGTGGCCAAAAGGATTTATACACCTTGAATTCCAAGATATTCTCCTAGTGCACGCTAAGCTGACTTAACGTCCATCTATCACTCATCGGCCATGCAGATACACGCAATTTCGCTATGAAGTCAAACAATCTCTTACCGTTTTCTAATGAACCTACTAGGAGCCAAGGGCCTTTAAAGCTGCTTGGCTGTCGGAATAGATGATATTCACCTACTTAAAAGGTATTATTTACGCTAGAGAGCAACCAATATGAAGCCTCCTGCATTTCGGCTACCTCTGCGTGGAAAACGCTAAAGTGATCCGATAGTCTGAATTTCAGCTTGATGCGGAGTTCTTCGCGAAAACCCCTCCACCAGCCTTACCATTCAGCATTGCTATGTCCGTAAATATGGTTACAGGACTCCGATTCTAGATATTACACCCCTGCCAGTTCTCTATCGCTTGGAACGTGGGTGCTGAAAGATGAAAAATAAAGCCTTTCGATTGAAAGCTATATTGTAATTATTAATAATTTATTAACTTTCTAAATAATTTTTATTAAGTTTGTGAAACATCTATTCACTCAGAACAGCTGGAAGGATATAGACGAAAAATTTCTAATATTTATTTAGGTTTTTGAATAGGGTTGCTACATGTTTAAAAATTTAAATTCAATTTTAGCGGTTTGTCGCCATGTGTGTTCATTAGTGAAAAAATATCTGTATATGTAAGTAAACCCGCTGAAATTGACCATCGAAGTGTCAGCTGATGTTAAAAATATTATTTTTGTCACTTTTACTGCAGTAAATCTATAGGAAAATAATTATATGTAGAACCTTTGCATGCAAAATCAATTCACCGAGAATTCGAAAATTATTCAACTCCTAAATATTTTCATATGTGGAACAACCTCCTCTCACAGCTTCCAGCATGACCAAGAATCTCGTCCTTAGCCTCTTGGCGGATGTATGTATTTAGGACAAGACAAATGTTAACGTGTTATTGGAATATATACATACACACATTTGTACGCAGTGGACTTCAAGCATTTGAAAAATAATGCAGCTACTACACTTACTGTAGTAAAAATGTAAGAAATGGTGAGAAGTATTTAAAAGTAGTGCTAAACAATATAACGTACATTATATTTATATTTTTTTTGCTTTTACCATGTGTGGCGATATATATGTATTCTCCTGATAGGGTCGGCTGTAAACTAAATAAGCAAAAGAACTTTCACATTACAACTCTTCTAAACAAAAAGACCACCAGAGCGTATGAGTAGCCTTTGGCTAAAAAACAGCATCAAATATCTCATTACTACGATTTCGTTGAAAAATGTTTCCAATTTTTTTTTATTGTTTATGGTTTAACCGTTTTGTCATTTGAGGGTATTTTTTTCTTAATCTTTAAGAAGCTATTTTTATTCATCCATTTTTATCCATTTTTGGAGGTATTTTCAAATCGGTCTACCTCACGTAAATCTTAATATTTTTCCGAAATATTTTGGTGGACGTCTTCAAATATAATAAATTTTGTAATCCCGGTGATGCAGTCGAATGTATATGGGTTTGGTTTTTCATAAATCGAAAAACTATACCAGCCTTTTAATGGCCACAAATTTATGGCTTGTTTGTTTTTTAATTCCAGTTTAAGTTGCCAAAAATTTAAATTTAAGCTGAGTTTTCAAAAACACCAAAAATTTATATAAGTTTTTAAAAAGTAAAAAACAAAATTTTTATTACAAAAAATTACATCCACCCAAAAAATGCATGTATGTATAATCATCCAAAAATTATGTCCATTTTTTAATTACCGAAAAATGTTCGGCCAATTTTTTTTTTAATTAGCTAAAAATTATGTGCAGTTTTAGTTCACCAAAAATGTATGTTCAGTTTTTAAATTGCCAGAAAACTTTTGGACAAGTTTTAATAAATAAATGAATTATTTTCGTTAGGAAAATGACTGAAATTTTTGTCCAAATTTTAATTACCGAAAATTTATCTTACTTTCTATTTTACGAAATTTCTGCCCAGTATCCAAGTGTTATATACCTTTTTTAAATGACCAAAAATGTATGGCCATGTTTTAATTTAGCAAAAAATTATGTAACATTTTTACGATACCAACAATTGACGTTCAGTTCTTACATATGTACAATGTATATTGGTTTCCCTATGATAAGAAATATATTATTCGAAGGCTATAGTTTTAACCGCTTTTCAGCACTCAGAAGCTTTCCATAAATATTACTACACTCGATGTAATATAAGAATTTATAAAAATAAAAAATGTACATCGTTTGTAAAGATGGTATAATATCCGACTGCCAACCAAGAATTCTACGTTCCACAACCCATCTACATTCCATTTTCTATTCTATTTATATAGAAAAAAACGCTAAACACCCTCTTGCATGGGCTACGAAGCTGCATATTTGGAAATTTTCTGAAAATGTTTGAACTCTTTTAATTTTCGTGAACTTTATGCAAACTTTGAAATTTTTTTTTTTGTGGTTTCTGTTGTGCATTAATGACATTCTTGCAATGGACTTTTTATAAGTGACCGCTGCAAGACATTGTCTGTTATAAGTCTTTGATAGGAGTACACCTGCATGACATTGTCACCAGTGTCATTGTCAGCTATATGCCGTTTAGGATTCACAGCAAGTGCGACGATGTCACTAAATCCTCATTAGTGACGATGTCACCGGTGACCATTTTCGCTACTGGGATATGTCTCAACACAGTTTTGCAATAAATATGTACTTACATATAGCCGCTGTTGTTTGCATTTAAGATTTAACCAATACGGTACTCCTACAAATATGCACATTAGGGTGGTCCTTAAAAAATCAAATGAATGATTTTTTCCAGTCTCACACCCTTTATCGGTAATACCACGATCACCGATATCACATATAAATTTTGGCTCCGATTGGAGAGGTTAAGGCGGGTCACACATGGGGCAAAATTCAGATTCTTTTATAGAAATTCAAGAAATAAAAAATTTTTTTTTTTCATCTAATACCCCAAATCGATATTACTTTAGTAGAAGATATCACATATAAATTTTGGTCCCAATTGCAGTCGGTTAAGACGTTTTCATAGGATTATTTGAATTTTGTCCCCTGTGCGACGCGCCTTAACCGTTCCAATCGGGACCAAAATTTATATGTGATATCTTCGACTATAGTAGCATCGAATTAGGAGTTGAGGCTTAGGAAATCTGATGTAAAAATTTACTTCCTACATATTAGGACCGCCCTAATGTGCATACATACTCTTATGTCTGCGCGCAAGCATGTGCCAAAATCATCGCTTTTCTCTATTTCACCTTCACTTAAACGGAATCAACGTAGTACTAGGTAAATGTAAGTACATATTTCGCAATTTGTTGCGGAAGTACTTTGTTCTCTACGTGTGAAGCACTTAGTCGAAATTGAGCAAACTAATGTAAACACAACAATAAACAATCAAATATGTAGTTACAAGCCAGTTCACTTTCGTGCGCACGCATGCATAAGTAGGTGTAGAGTATCAACATATTTTGTTACTTGCCTGCAACCTTAGATTTTCAATACAACATTCCAGTGCATATCGAGAAGGTATCTTCCTTCGAGGGCAACTAGACGCACGTAGTACACGCACGCAGCACTAAATGTATTTGGATGCTTGTGGCTCCATGATTGTGATTTTTATTTACTTAGTACCGGCTGGATATCTAAATATATGTATATTTTGAATATAGTTATATTTTTAAGGTGTTGTATTTACGTAGCTTTAATAAATCCTATTTTTATCTGCGATTTTTGAAAATTGATTACTAACAAATATGTGACCAAATTTTTCTGCTGCGCATAGAATTGTAGCTGGAACTACTTTGTTAATAAAAATCAGGAGCACGAAATTGTTGGGAGGATATTTGTAATAATTTAGACCATATTTTCTGCCAAGCATATTCTAAAGTATACTCTGGTCCAATAGGTTCGGCGTAGTGCCATTTTCA